ACCCACGCACAAGTGTTACTTTTATGGATCTCCTTCAATTTATTTATCATTTCATTCATTAATTGTTTATACTTGATTTGAAATTTTTAGGTATTGATCTTTTGTCTCTGTATCTTTATGGATATCCTATAGACGTATTCAGGACTTTTGTTTCGGATATCTCAAGTACATCCGCAATGGGATATCTTATGGATATACATTTTTTGTCCACGGATATCCCGCCTTGAATAGGACTTGAAATGGATATTCATAAGATATATCCCGTGTGTTAACTGGGTATGATAAGAACGTTCGCAATTGTTTTTTCACAACCATTTCCAAAATTTTGGAAAGCGAGGGTAGTATATACTCACTGTTCGCATTGATGCGCACTTTCCTCATATTGTTTGTTCTTACACATTGCAAGATTGCGTAGAGTTCCGCTTGAAATACGGAAGTGTTTATTCCCAGTGAAAAGCTCATTTGGGAGTTTCTCCTTCACTGTAAATTCCAGCACCAGAGCCATTCTTGGTCTTGGACCCGTCTGATGTGTACCAGATCTTATTCTCTCCAGGTTTGCCGTTGATGTCATCTGTCCATTCCCTTTGATCTTGCATGATCACCTCGAAGCTCATGTTGAAGCAGTATATTGGGGTAATGTGGTCCGTTGGTTTCATTTCAACATACAGTGTGACCCACTTCTAATGGAACCACCCCTGTGTCTTACGTAATCGTTGGGTAAGGATCCTGAAATTTGCTGAAGCGAGAGATATACCAAAAATGTACTCTATGACTAAGTGGGGTCATCTTCAGTGTTATACACTGCTCGCCAACAGCCATGAAACTACCCCAATTTCCGGAAAATGATATTAGGAGTCAAAATAGGTCGAAAATCACTTCAGATTTTGAATCAGGACGCCCAATTTACTACTCAAAATTACTATTCAAATTCTTCCTGGAAAATTTTCATTTCGGAAAAATGAAATTTTGTCGCATTTTTTATGGAAGCACCCCCGTATCTCACGTAATTATTGAGGTAGGTTTCTGAAATTTGCCGGAGGAAGAGAAAGTCCAAAGATAAAGTCAATTACGTGAGATACGGGGGTGCTTCCATAAAAAATGCGACAAAATTTCATTTTTCCGAACTGAAAATGTTCCAGGAAAAATTTGAATAGTTAGTAAATTGGGCGTCCTGATTCCAAATCTGAAGTGATTTTCGACCTATTTTGACTCCTAATATCATTTTCCGGAAATTGCGGTAGTTTCATGGCTGTTGGCGAGCAGTGTATATCACTGAAGATGACCCCACTTGGTCATAGAGTGCATTTTTGGTATATATCTCTCGCTCCAGCAAATTCCAGGATCCTTACCCAACGGTTTCGTAAGATACAGGGGTGGTTCCATTAGAAGTGGGTCACACTGTATATCGCGTGTTGGTTTCAAATTTCAAAATTCTCGCTTTCTCGATTCACCTCGTAAGAAAATCTTAGGAGGTTTTCTAACTGGTGAGGTCGTCATTCTATGAAGAAAAACATGGAATATTCGAATACGAAGTTTCATCATTGTAAGTTCTACAGGAAGATGTCCCAATAATAAGGTCAACCAAATATCAATATAGAACTAAAATTGAGGTACACTATTTTGAAAACTCAAGTAGACAGCAAGGCTTTGGAATTCTTCGCCAATGGAAGTATTCCCAAGTACTTATAACCTCCAAGAAATAAAAAAATCCGATGTTCTGTGAATATCATCGGAATTCCTTTTTGTGCGCTCCAAGAGATGAAAAAAGCATGAACAATGATAATTTATTCTTTCCACCATACCATCCATAAAACCTACCATTATTTACTCCTTAATGTGAAGTGAAGTGTGTTTTTACTTTCAAGGTAGTTTTCATCATTTTATGAACCACTACACCTTTTTCAGATGTATTTCAGAAAGCGTCAATTCAATTTCAGAAAGCGTCAATTGTATTTCAGAATAGTCAATTTAATTTCAGAAAGCGTCAATTGTATTTCAGAATAATTAATTCAATTTCAGAAAGCATCAATTGTATTTCAGAATAGTCAATTGAATTTCGGAAAGTGTCAATTGTATTTCAGAAAGTATCATTTGAATTTCAGAAAGCGTCAATTGAATTCCAGAAAGCATCAATTGTATTTCAGAATAGTCAATTGTATTTCAGAAAGCGTCAATTGTATTTCAGAATAGTCAATTTAATTTCAGAAAGCGTCAATTGTATTTCAGAATAATCAATTCAATTTCAGAAAGCATCAATTGTATTTCAGAATAGTCAATTGAATTTCAGAAAGCATCAATTGTATTTCAGAATAGTCAATTGAATTTCAGAAAGTGTCAATTGTATTTCAGAAAGTATCATTTGAATTTCAGAAAGCGTCAATTGAATTCCAGAAAGCATCAATTGTATTTCAGAATAGGCAATTGAATTTCAGAAATCGTTCTCTGTAGACTGAAAGCCAGCGACCACCAGACATCATTTGAACAAGGTTGATATTTTCTATGTGTGTTTTATCCTATTCGGTATAATCGTTTTGGGGGTTGAAAATCTTCAGTACTGGATGGGCTTTCAAGAGATACCGGGTGTTGAAAGTACGGAAAAAAAACTGGCAAAAACATCATTTCAACAAAAGCTGATCTTTTTATGTTCAATCGGATCCTATCGTGAAAGAGAATATACAATTGCGAGGCACTTTCCACGGGGTGTTCTCCTGCCAGACAACTTTATAAATCGTGAAAATATCATGACATTCACGTCATAGCAACAGAGAGCTTGATTTTGTGAATGT